CGCCACCGAGCGCGCTCCGCCCAGCCGCCTAGAGCGGCCGCCCCCACCCCCCCGACACCACCGAGAGCGCTCCGCCCAGCCTCCTAGAGCGGACACACCCCCCCCTCCTCCTCCTCCTCCTACGGGCGGCCACAGAGCGCGCACCGCCCAGCCGCCTAGAGCGGCCCACGGCTCACCGCTTCCGCCGCCGGGGCGGAAGTTGTTCGGCGGGAGGGGGCGGGTGGTGGGGCCACCCGGGAGAGGCTGGGCCCGGAGCTGTTTCACCGTTAAACGGTGCCCTCCGGGCAGGAAATCTGTAAGGGGCTCCGGCCCTGCCGCCTCAGCGCGGGCCCCGGTGGAAGTTGGTTAAACCGTTATAAGACGCTCAGCCCACCACGCGTGGGGCTCCCCCCCCCCCCGGGAAGGGCCTAGGGAAGAGCACGAACCGGGGCCTGGATCCGCGGGTACCGGGAGGGGACGCCGGGAAGCCGCGGGGTACTGTGGGTACTCCACCGCTTTCCCGCCCCGCTCTTCAATTTGCGGCGCTGTCGTAAAGACGCGGACCGGGCTCTCGCGACGTTGCTTGACGGCCGAGACCGTGTCCCGCTCTCTGATTGGCTCCACCGGGGCCGCGCCGCGCTCTGATTGGTCCCGCGCGGGGCCGGGGGCGGTTTGAGCGGCAGAACCCGGCGCGGCGGCGGCTCCGGGGCTCAGGCACGATGGTGAGTGGTCGGTGGGGCCGGCCCGGAGGGCGGCAGGACCCGGGGGGCTGGAGCCGTGGGAAGGGCCCGGCTCGCTTTTCTCCGCCGCCGCCGGGGGCGGTGTGCTCGGTGTCGCGGTCGGTGTCCCGGTTCTCAGCCGGTGTCCCGGTTCCCGGCGGTGCCTGAGGCCTCTCTCCTCTTTTTCCTCTCACAGCTGCCCCTGTCCCTGCTGAAGACGGCGCAGAACCACCCCATGGTGAGTACCGGCAGCGCGGCACAGCCCCGGTCGGTCTCAGGCTCGCCGGTGCCGTGTGGTGACACCGGGGGGGGGGCAGGTCCCTGTACCGGGGCCGGCCCGGCGACCCGTGACTCCTGTCTCTTGCAGCTGGTGGAGCTGAAGAATGGGGAGACGTACAACGGGCACCTGGTGAGCTGCGACAACTGGATGAACATCAACCTGCGGGAGGTCATCTGCACGTCCCGGGTAAGGCTGGACCCTGTCCCGTCCCAGGCAGCCGGGCAGGGGTCACCCACCGTCCGTGCCCCTGGGGAGCATCCCTGAGGGTGCCCGACCTCCGGCCCTGCAGTTGGGCTGGCTCTGCTGTAGCTCAGAGGCTATCGCTCCTCTGGAAGCGTGACTTCTGCCTGAACTGCAAGTTTAATATAGCTATTTATAATAGCTGCAATGAAGGAACGCACTCGCCCGCATGCTCGAGCGGGGTGGCTTTCTGCACAACACAGAAATGCCGTGCGAGCGTTTCCCCCTGCGAGAGGGTTCTCGGTGTGGGGCTGGGGGCCGCAAGATGGGGTGCGACAGCCCGTGCCGTGATGCTGAGCTGGGTTTCCCAAGAACGGAGCCTTCATCTGTCGCATGCTGTCCGAGAAGCGAGGTCTGCTTCAAACACAGCACTAACTTTTATTAATTTGCTTGTCTCTCACCCTCTAACTCTCCACATCAAAACGGAGGAGCCTGTTGTTTACCCGTGCTGAGGCTCTGCGCTGTCTGGTACTTTCGCCCTTGGCCAAAGTTGCTCCAGAAGATTGTGATCTGTGTTTTGGGCTTTGACCTCAGTCAGAAGTGTCTGGTCTTGTCCCTACTGGCTGCGTGCTGTGGGAGACGGCAGCCGGATGGATGTCAGCTGTCGTTGCTCTTTCCCTGCCCCACAACATCAGAGCTCAATGGGAGAGTCTGGCAGAGATCCTCGTTCTTCTGAAAAATCTCTCTGCAAACTCCCAGTACCTGTTGTCTCCACAGCAGGAGAGCTTTGAGCGATATTGCTGGGGCACATTTTCACGTCGATATGACAGAGTAAACATCTTGTGCGAGGTTTAAGAGGGACCTTCGGGGCGGAGCAGTGGGGCTTAGAAATTTGTGGGCGCACCTTGGTTTGTGGTGGGACAAACGGGAAGGAACCGCTGTTGAATTTAGCAGGAGGGGGACTAAGAGGAGGTGACAGCAAAGCCTTATCCATGCCCACGACACGGGGGATATTGTCGTTCTCCTTGGGAAGTCGCTTCCTACGGCTCTGTGCTCTGCTGTGGAAGAGCAGTAGCTCAGCTTTTATTCCCTCTGAGTGACCTAGAGGGATCCTGTTCACACAGCAAAGCAGCCGGGCTCATCAGCTGCGCCTCCGCCCGCCTTAAAACACCAAAACGCCTCCAAAGCCCGGGTGAAAGCGGAGCTGGAGCCTCTGCCCGGGTTGTACTGGTGGCACTGGTGGGGACTGGCCACTAGATGGCACGGAGCGGCGGCGGACGGGCTGGCCCGGCCTGGGGCGGGGGGCGGTTGTTTACTCCGGGGAGGCCGGAACGAGGAAGCGAGGGAGCCTGGCTCCATCCCTTCCTGCATCCCGAGCCAAGGAGCAGCCAGGCAGATCCAAGGCAGGGTGGGGTTTGCTGGGTGTCTTTTGGAAGAGGACTGTTGCTCTCTGTCTTGTCTTGTGCGCAAAGGACTTGCCTGTACAGGCAGACTTGCCCCAAATAACTCCTGGGGTGGTGGTGGTGGGGAAACCTGACTATTTTATCCCGGGAGAGGAGGAATGAGGCATTCTTGTTTAACCCACTCTTCTGGGACATGACAGATGCCTCATCCGCATGCTGCCACTTGAGAATCGCTGGGCTCGAGTGATCCCATCTGCAGCCAAACCCTGACGGAGCTGCTGCCGAGCCGGGGCTGCAGTGGCGGAGCGGGGCGAGGTGGGTCCCCGTCCCTCCTCCCAGTTACATCATGGGCAGCAGAGTTGTTGTTCAGCTTTGATGCTCGATTCCTATTCCCACAGCCACCCTCAGTACGCGGGAGCTGAAGCCCTCATAGGTTACGTCTAAGGAGAACCCTGAAACTGCATTAAACAACGAACAAACAACATACAGAGAGGGCTGCTCCGTAACTAGGCACCTGAAGACTTTCTTTTTTTGTATATATATGAACTGTAAGCTCCTTATTTTCCACAGCTGTAGTTACAGTGCTCTGGTGGCACACACCCTGCAGCCAGCTGGCTCCGGACCTGCCTCACTGCTCCATCCACACCCCAGAGGAGTGAAGGAGTGAGGTGACTCCCAGCCGAGGCTGCTGGAGAAGAAACCCGGCCGTGCATACGCCTTTACTGCAGCTGCGTTTTTCTTGCCAGAGTTGGTTGGTTGTAGCTGTTGTAACTTACCACCCTTGCCTCTCTATTCCCGCTTTCGATTCCCTTCTTACACAAGAAGGGAAGGTGCTTGTTTTCTCAGCCTCTTCTTCCTTCGTTTTCTGCGAGTGTTAGAGGCAGTTGTGGAACAGATTGAAACTACAGTTGCTCGTGGCTGAGTGCCCTCCCCGCCCCCAGGTTGTAGGGCTATGTGTTTTGGAGGAAAAAAACCACCCTTTTTTTGCAGCTAGTTACAGATAACACTTTCAGAAAAGATTGGCGGAGCTGTTGCACTCTCCAGAAGTGATGGAAATATTCAAATGCCCCAAAAGTGAAACAAAAGCACCAGGTTTTGTTTGTAGGCTAACGTGTTGCTCCCCAATAGGATGGAGACAAGTTCTGGAGAATGCCAGAGTGCTACATTCGTGGCAGCACGATTAAATACCTGCGTATCCCTGATGAAATAATTGACATGGTGAAAGAAGAGGTGGTGTCCAAGGGCAGAGGCCGTGGTGGGATGCAACAGCAGAAGCAACAGAAGGGCCGTGGTGTTGGAGGTGCTGGACGAGGTAACGATCCTGTTTGTATTTCAGCTCGGAGAGGGTGAGCGGGATCCCTGCCTTTAAATTTCACCTCTTGTGCAAGGAATGGCTCTTCTCAGCTTTAAACCTGGGACTGCGTGTCTGGGAGAAGCTAGAGCCGCTCCTGTGTGAGATCTAGCTGAGCGAGCGTGTTGCCTCGCTTGTAAGGCAGCCTGTGCCAAAGAATAGAAGGGATTTGTGCCAGGGATGTGCCTCCCTCGTTACTGGGGTTGGGCAGGAGCTTAAGAGAGTCTGAACTTGGTTTCTACCCCTCCTGGCTGGTTTGGGAGCATGGCCCTACAAAACTGGTGTCTGTTAGCTTAACAACTCTGGGAGGGAAACAAATGGCTATTCTGTTTGAAAATAGACTGGGCTCTAACCATGGCAGCGATAGAAAAACATCATCTTTTCTCCCATTATAATGGGTCTTTTGATCTCCTGACTTGTTCATTTGTTTATTTTTTTTTAAATATCTGAGGGTTTGTGTTCCTCCTGCTTGACATGAATAATTCCTTTCTGATAAAAGGGGAGGTTGCCACTTATGAAGAAATAGGTCACCAAAACAACTCTTCCTTCCCTGTCCCACTTCATGGGGTTAGGTGATCTCGGAGCACTTCAACCTGGGGATGTATTTGCTCTTTTCTCCCCAAACTGCCCTGCTGGAAGCCCAAGAGCCGTTGCTCTCCTTTCCTGCTCACCCCTCCTGCCACGTCTTTGTGATTTTTGCTTTGTGGTCACCTCGCTCAGCCTCAGGGTTGCTCTCGATACAGGCTTAGCCTGCAGCAGGAGCTTAAAATCCTGAGTGTGCTCACTTGCTACAACAAAATTGGGTTTGGCCCAGGAAATCTTAGCTTTTAAAAGAAGCCCTGGGGACTGAGACACCGACGGGCAAAGTCTCTGTACAGAGCACCCTGGGCAGAGTCTCTCCACAGAGCACCCTTAACGAGCTGCCTGCATTTTGACTATGCAAGGAATCCTGGTAGGACAGCTGGGATCTACCTGGGGCCATCACGCCACGCTGGGACGCGCGATGTGCGGCGTCTCCGACTCCCAGGGACTTCTGGAGGAAAAACCCCTGCAATTGCTGCTGCCCATGCTACCTCCTGGAAGCTCCAAGCATGCAACAGTGACCTTTACAAATCTGAAGGCGCCTTTATTTTTCCTCCTTCCCTTTTCAGTGTCCAAAGCGCTTGGCATAACAGCTTTTTTGGATATGGTTATTTGGACAAACATTTTAGCTGAAATATTTTCTCTGCTGTGGAAATATCTACCTTGTGGAGAGCAGAGCTGAGCTCTGTTTGAGGTGGAGTTCCCTGCTGTTTTGATGTGCAGCTTAAATTCGCTGATGGAATATTTTAAAGGGAAGCTTCGGCATTTGCTAATTAGCTAAAAGGTTTGGCTCTCATTACTGAGACATGAAGGGAGGAGGAAAAAAAAAAAAGGCAGGACAATTTTGTTGAGAGGCCAGCAGGCAGAAGTAAAGCTATAATTGTGCACACAGTTGAAAGGATTATTGTTTCTGACACTGGTAATCCTTCGTCTTTTACTTCTTGGCTTGCCAAATTCAGAAGTACGGCAGTCTTTGCTCAGCTTCGCTGGGAGCAGCCGGAGCCCTGTGAGCATCCCAAGGACTGCAGGCTTAGGAGCAATTTTTTTTTTTTTTTTTTTTTTGCCTCTGGTCTAGGCATGCCTCCTCAATGAAGCAATCAGAGCAGAGGGCTCTAGAGAAGCAATTCTGCCTGGTGCCCAGACTGGGTCTCCTTTGGGTTCTGTCTTTTGTGCGGAGGTGGCTGGCAGGGTAGATCCACAGTCCCTTTATTGCTTGCACGCCAAGATAAAAATTACTGCCTAGAATAGCTTTCTGTTTGGGGTGAATCTGAGGGGAGTGCGGGGGTGGGCTCAGCAGCTCCCATGACAAAAGACGGTCGCAGCTCTCGGGTATGAGGACGCTCGTATGTCTGCAGCGGGTCTCGCCGCAGCTTCCCGGTTCCTGCCACCTCCCTGGCAGTGTGCTGTACCCAGTGCCCTCTCTGGAGTGGTGGATCGCTCTGACCAGCAGCGAGGCAGTGACAGAGGGACGTATTTTTTCTGTTTTGTAGCTGAGCAGTCTTCAAACTGAGTCACCCTCTTTGCTGCTTTTGGTTTGCCCTTACAGCTTTCAGGGGACACAGTGTAACCTCCTCATCCCACTGGATTTAAAACATGGTATCACTTCCTTGGTTCTATTTTTCAGAAGAAGTTCACTTCAATGTACGATGATAGCACAGCTAGCTAGAGGGCACGTTAACACCCCGGCGAGGTATCGCAGAACTTGCTGGCAAGGGGGGATAAGTTTATGCTCCTCATAAATATGGAGTCTGGAACTGACAAGGCTGAAATCGAAAAGTCCCGTTTCTGCTTCTAAGACTAGAAAACAGGCATGCATTTGGGTAAAACATAAATAGCCATAGAGCTCCAAGCAGCTGGGAGATGTTACTGGCTTACAGTGATGCTGTTACATCCGTGCTCTTTTCTTTCTGCCCTATAGGTGTGTTTGGTGGCCGTGGCCGAGGAATACCAGGCAGTGGAAGAGGCCAGCAGGAAAAAAAGCCAGGCAGACAATCAGCAAAGCAATGAGAGGCTGTCTGCACCCTGGCCGGGGACAGTGCTGCGATGCTGTTTGGTTTTTATCACCTCAGGATTGCCATGTGTTCAAAAGCGTTACCTTTCTACTCTTCCGTCAGTTGATCAGTGCCCGAATCGTGTAGTTTGGAAGCCCCTCACAATTTAATCTCGTAAAGTGGAGTTATTCACTCCTTGTAGTCAGCAAGTCATTGGAAATATTTAAAAAATCATTCCTGGTAAGGACCTAAGTTCTGCCTTCTCCTGAGAGTGAAAACACTCTTTAATTTTTCAGGGTCCCCAGGTTTAATTTAAAAGATTATCCTGTACAGTGGTATAAGAATGAAGGCAAACACTTTCTGGATTGTTTGGATTTTTTTTATACTTGAAACTTGGGAAACTTACTGCATTTGTAACGGATGCAAGTGTTTTGGTTTAAAAACACTGAACTTGAGGATATTGTATCTTTACCTGAGTAGTCTTAAAGGTTTGGGTTTTTTTAAAAACAACAAACTTTTAAGCTATTGCTTAGCTTCTATTTCTGGCCAGTCGGTTCTGTCTCTCTCCTATGGCTTAAAGGAGGACTTGGGATGAACATTGCATTGGCCTTCAAGGGTTGTTTCCAAGAGAGCTTTGTGATAAATGAGGATTTCCCAATTAATGTATTACTAATTTGACTTCAGGTTAGAAGCTTCCTTTAAAGGAAAGGGGTTTCTGTGTTTTCTTGCGGAAGGCTGGTGTGCCCCTTACTCTTCATGTGTGGGGGTTTTTTCTGAAAAGCAACCCAGCTGTTGATTTATGTTTTTTTCCCCCACTTTGAAAACACTCTCCCTCATGCCTGCAACACAAAGTCCTGAACTCTGACAATATTTCTCAAGCTTATTTCTTCTGGTACCTAGTGATTGACTTCACTGTACGTACTTGCCATTTCCTTTTCTAGTCACCGATTATCTTTCCCTGGGGACAAAGACCGGTGTGTGAGTGTGTCCTTCCTGTAGATTAAGAAAGCTCCTGTGAATTCCCAGGTCGGGTTGCTCCAGTCTTCCATCCCATGGGGTGCAGGGTCCCATGAGCAAAATGCGCCCGCAAAATATCCAGTCTGATCTGAACTGAATGTCTGCATGGGAGCATGGGGGGAAGGAAGAGGCTCTGGCCGTGCCTCAACCCCCTGAATGGATGAAATAGCTTAATTTTAGGGGAAAAGCTGATATTGTTACTTGCTCCGAACAGGTTTTTTTGTTTGTTTGTTTTGTTTTGTTTTTTACAACTGTTTCCCATGTTGAAGCCTACTCTCTGCCATCACCACGGTATTGAAAATGAGTAAAGAACATGCTTTTATATATACTTATTTTTTTAACGTTTATAGAACTTGTGCGCAGTGGTGAGTAGGAATAAATCGCCAACCTCTACAAAACGACTCCCTCTCTCTGTCTGCAACGGCGCTGAGCCCTGCCTGACCCCACGCGCGCTCCTGCAGCCAGCCGGCTTTGCCTAAACCGTTGCTCGAGCCCAGGTATAAGTAATAAATCCCCAAGCAGATGGGCTAAACCTTTGGTTTCTAATAACAGCCACGTGTTTTCTGCAGCCACCTTTCCTTGGCGAGGCGTTAACCGTCAGCGCCAGCGCTCGATCCCCATCCCGGGCAAGCTGGCTTCTGCCAAGGAGCCAATTCCAGGCGATGGGAACAGGGCACGCGTGTCCTCCCTCCTGGAAACTCGGTCTCAACGTAAACACTCGTGTGGCATTTTAACAAAGCCCAAGCTGAGCCCTGTGTCAGACTTTCCCTTCCCAACCTGCTCCCTCCCTTTCGAGTCCCTCCAGCCACAGAAACTCCATGTGTTACAGCTGCCCTGGTGAAAAAGGAAACGACTGCAGCGCTGTCTGGATTTAAGGTCTGTTCTGGCCAGATAAATCTTCACCGCAACAATGGGACCTTTGGCTTCGGCTCAGGGTAGAGTCCTCCAAGTATGCCTTATCTCCTGGCGAAGCTCTGGGGTCAGGTGTTGGAGCTCGTTAAGTTCTGCTTTTGTTTAATTACAGCCTTCCCTGCTTGTCTCCCCCCTTCCTTTTTCCACCTCTGTAGGAAAATTTTTGTCCCACGCTGTGGCGCAGCCCCTGCGAGGGCAATTGGCCCCACGTGGCAGCAGGTTGGGTGGAAGATGGCTCCATGTAAGAGCGGCATCGAGCCTCGGCATCGACGTGACGCTCATCTTTGGGCCTTTCTGCCCCAAAAACGGGTGTCTGGGGCTGTCGTGTGCTCCAGCCCTGCCCCACAGCAGCGCAGCAAGGGGTGTGGGGAGGCGAGCCAAGCTGAAAAAAAAAAAAGGCAACCCAAACCCCAAACCAGGGAGGAGCAAGATAAAAGCAACAACCAGAGAGGAGGAAAAAGGTCTGAGCCTTGCTGCCGGCGTGGGTGGGTGTGCGCAGCCTGGCAGGGCGAACGTGTCCCGGCCGGAAAGACGGGCTGGGTTGGGGGGGGACCAAGCAAAGGCCACCGTGGAAACCCTCCCTTGCTCCTTTTCCCCTTGATGTTTTCATGGTGGCCGAGCTGGTGGCAGCTCCGGCAGCCGTGGGGCCGTGTCTCCGGCGCTGGTGCTGTGGCATGGCGCTGCTGGCCGCCCCACGGTGACTCATAACTTCTGTGCCTCGCCGGGGAGGCAGCACAGGAATAGTTACACACCAGCCGCCTGCGACGCGGAGGGAGTGGCTGCCGAAATATTTCAGGGTTGCGCTAAGCAACTAAAAATACACGTCAAACCCTCCTCCTCCTCCTTTTTCCTTTTAAAACGTGTTTTCTTTCTTTCTATTTTTTTTTTTTTAAGTTCTTGTTTTTGATTGTTGGAGGCCCCTGCGTCTGGGGGCAACGCGGCCCCTCGGGGCTTCCTCGGGGACCTGTGTGGGTTTGGGGCAGGCGCTGGCGGCCGGCGACTTCTTGTTTTCCCGGCTTGGTTCCTCTCTCCCTCCCTGCGGCGATGACTAAGAGGCGGCTTCCCCTGTGTGCCCGGTGCCCGGGGTGCAAATCCCGGGGTGGCAAACGCTCTCCTGCTTGTTCCCATTCTGGGGGAAGGCTCGGTGTGCCAGGAGGGCAGGGGGATGCAGGTGCATCCACAGTAACTCGTGGGCATCTCGGCATCTTGCTTTGGGTCCTGCCCATGTCCTCGGTCAGAGCTGTGAGTGTCAAGCGCCAGCGCGGCACCTTGTCTCGGCTCCCGGCTGGAGCGGCGGAGCGGGATCGGGTGCTGCCGGTGTAATGGAACCAGTTGCACTCAGGGAACGGTCCCGTTGGGGCCGAGGAAATGGGGAGAGCAGGAACCGCGTGGGGACCCACCGCACCAGCTCTGGTGAACGTGGCCCCGCTCAAGGCTCGTCGTGCCTCGCCGAGGTCCGGCGGCGGCGGCGTGGGTTCATCCGAAATCCTTGCTGCCTGCTCCGGGGTAAATATAGCCCGGCTGGCAGGTGGCAAGGCGCAGCGTGACTCAGTGGGCGCTCGCGGGGCCGAGCTGGGCTCCGACGCCTCTGGGAATAGCAGCTTCGGTCCCCAGCCGAGGTGATGGTGGCACTCGCCACCGGCTCCGTGGACGGGGACCGCCCCACTCGTGCTCCCCACGGGTCTGCCCTCCCGGCAGGCGGAAGGGGCCGATGAATCATGACCCTCATTAAACGCTCATTAGGAAAATGAAGATGCCGGCTTGCCGCGGGCATCGGGCTGCCACCTGCGAGGCAACCTGCGGTGTCTCCGGTTTGGGGACAAGGGACGTGCGGGACGAGCACCAGCGGTGACAGGGTGGGAGCATGTGGGGGGGGGGACACACAACAGCGTGAGCACCCCGGGGTGCTGCGACCCTCAGGACAAGATGCCGGGGGGCGGTGGGGTTTTGCCGGCGGCTGGCCCCGGCGGGAGCGGGGCTCGTGGCTCGCATCCCTGGCCACCGGCCAGCCGCTCTTCCAAGGGAGGCCCTGGGGCCGGTTCGTTCCTCCCTGCAACCGATTAAAGCACCTACGGCCAAAGCTGGTTCTCATTTCGTCCCGCCGCAGCCCGGATTGCGATGGGCGGGGGGACCCAACACATGGCACATGGGGGTGCCCGTGGGGCATACACCAGTGACTGTGGGGTGCAGGCAGCCGTGCCCACGGGGGCATTCCCAGCCCGGGATGGGGGATCCCTGTGCGGTGTCGGGGTGAAGGGAGCTGCCCCCCGCCCCGGTCCCTGTCTGTGTGTGTGTGTCCGTGTCCCCCCCCACCCAAGTCCTTGTCCCTCGCTGGCCGGGTTTCGTCAGGACGGAAAGTCTGAACCTGCCGGTCCAGCCGCCGGCCGCACCCCTAATGACGGGTTTGCAGCAGAAACATGGACGGCGCCTTCACCTGGGCGCTCCTCACCGGCTCGACCCGCCGAGGACACCGGCGCCTCTGCCACCCTCCCGGGGTCGGGACACCGGGGCTGGCGGGGATGGGAGGACGCCAGGCACGGGGCTTGGTCACGCTCTAGTTTATTTGAGGTTTAATCGACTGAGTTTATTTGGGATTTAATTAATTGCAGCTGTGGGGGGAGGGGAGGTCGACGTCAGTCTCGTGCCTCGGTTTCCCCAGTGCCGGCACCGCGTGTCCCGGCCCCATCCTGGTTGTCACCTGTGTTCCCTGCGCCCTCCCCGCAGCCAGGGCTGAGCTGTGCCGTGGCCTGTGCCGTGTGCCGCCCCCGTGCCCGATGCCGTGCCGTCCCCACGC